CCCTCCCCCTATTCCCACCCACCTCCCTCTCTTTTTTATCATCATTTCCCTTCCCTCACTTCTCTTCTCTTACCCTTTCCCTTCCTTCCCTTCGCAGACGCCGCTCGGGACTCGAAGATGGAACTTATGAGGAGTGGGTTGGCGAGATGGTCACGATGAGGGAGATTCTCAGGTCGTTCGCCGGAGTGAGGAAAGCCGATATCTTGGGTATGAGGGGCCCTCACCTCAAACCCGGCAAGAACTCACAGCTTGAGGTGAGTCGGAGGGAGGTCTAAATAGGGGGGGAGGGGGGGGGTTGAGTGGGTATGTGGAGGGTATATGAGTTCGATGAGTATGTATGTGACGGGTATGTAGAGGGTAGATGGAGGCTGGGGGAGCTATGTGGGTGGTAAGATTGGGTGAGCATAGTGGGATGGGTAGCTATGTAGCTGTTGAGAGTAAGGGAGTGGGGTGGAGGTGGGGGTGGGAAGTTGGATGGATATGTGAGCAGTGGGGGGTTGGATAGGCATGTTTGTGTGTTTATGTGGTGGGACTGGGTAGGTATGTGTATGAGTGAGGGGGGCTGTATGTGTTAAGGGCAAGGGAGAGGTGTGTATGTGTTTGTTTGGTTATGTGTCTCTGTGTGTATCACTTTGAGTTTGAGACTATTAATGTTTTTTTATTCACCAAATAATTTCAATATTTGTTATATGTAGATTTTTTTCTCTTATCCTCGTCGAACAACTAATCCTCAGTACTGACCAGTCTATCTAACACCATCTAATTAATTTATCGCCTCATACTTTCCCTCCTTCGCAAAAGCGTTCATTGTCAGTCCCAAAACAATGCATCCCTTATCCTAACCCCCCCTCCCCCCACCAACAACACAGCCCTTAACCCTTATACCCTCAACACATTCCTTATACAGCCCCCCCCCCCCAACATAACCCTCTAACCCTTTCCCTTCTTCAGATGATGAACGACTTCGGTTTCTCTTGGGACTCAACCATCAACGCACCCCCAAGCAAAGTGCCAGTGTGGCCCTATTCCTTCGACTACAAGATCCCCCACGAGTGCCGCTCCGGAAGCTGCCCCACCAGGTCATTCCGAGGTCAGTTAGGGTCAGGGGCGTTCGTCGTCTTGGTCGTGTGATGTAGTAGTGATGTTGTATATACTATAGTAGGGCAGTAGATAATTCATTAATAGTGTGGATTTTGTGATTCATTTTTTAGGACATAATCATAACCTCATACCCGGGACGAAAAAAAAAATCTAACAGATCTATAAACGCTAACGAGCATAAGGACACACTCTCACACTTCCATTCTCCACATACAACAGGACTGTGGGAAATGCCAATGAATTCCCACTTCAAGAACTTCCAATTCGAGGGAGGCTTCTGTCCCTACCTGGACCAGTGCAGCTTCAGTTATCAGAACGAACCCGACGTCCTCCAGTGGCTTCAGGATGACTTCAACCGCCACTACACAACCAACAGGTTCGGTTCATGCGTTGGTGCTCGGAGGTCGTTGGGAAGATGTTTCTTTCTCTCTCTTTCTTTCTCGTTCTCTCTCTTTCATTTTCTCTTTTTGTCGGTGTCTGTCTTTCTCTCTTACTTTCTCTCTTACTCTCTCTCTCCTAACCCCCTCTCTCTCTCTCTCTCGTGTATCTTTTGCTGTTTATCTCTTTCACACTCATTTTCTTCTTCCCTCTCATTACTTTGATTCTCTCTTTCTCTCTCTCTCTCCTTCCCTCCCTCCCTCTATCCCTCCCCCCTCTCGCTCTTTCTCTCTCTTTCTCTTTCTCTCCCTCTCCTTCCATTTTGTCAATTACACAGAAGCTTCTTCCTTTTTCTCTAGTATTTTCATGTATATTTTCCCGTCCTCTTCGGTTTTTCTATTAATTTCTTGTATCATTTTTTCTTCTCCTCATAGATTAAGCCTCCTTCGCAATTGGCCTTGAATTGTTCTTTTTTTCTTTACGTGTCGACATATTTGCATATTATCATTCATGAGAGTTTCTTGTTCCTCCATTAGGGCCCCTTACATGCTGGCTCTTTCGACCAACTGGTTCCAAACTCCAACCCAAACCAACGGACTTCTCGCCTTTATCGACTGGACTATGTAAGTTTATGTTACTATTTTCTAGGCATGCAAGATGGTATAGTGTAGTGTGTGTTGTGGTGATGCTAATTTTATTTTTTTTTATTGGTTAAATTATATGTTGAGGATACAGTACACACACGCACGCGCGCGCAAAGGCACACGCACACGCACACACACAAGCACAAGCACACGCACACACAAACGAACACACACGCACACACACACACACACACACAAGCACGTATTATACTTAATATTTTGGTCCAATCACAGGACCCTGAATGACGTGTACTACACCACCATGACGGAGGCCCTGCAGTGGGTGACGACGCCGCAGCCCATCTCCGAGCTGAGTCGCTTCCAGCCCTGGAGTTGCCAACAGAAGGTGTACCCCGACCCCCCGTGCGAGACTCCCAGCTCATGCCAGCTCTCGCTCAATGCCCGACATGACAATTTCACTTCGGCAGGTGGATCCAGGTGAGAATTTTGGTTCCGTTTCTCACGGATGGAAGGTTTTTTGTTTTCTTGAAAGATCGTAGGAGTCGAATGATGTGGTTTTAAGATTTGGAATGTGTGTTTGTGAATAGATCTTTAGTTTGTGTGTTTTTTTTCTAATCACAGCAACTGATATTCATCTTATATATGTGATACCGAATGAAGTCTTTACAGAAGAAATTAGCCTCTCGTTAATATCAATATATACTAATAACATAATTGAATTCAAGTATATTGCAATATTCTAGTGATTTTTCTCACCTTTCCCTCTCCCCACAGGTACATGGTAACCTGCAGCAACTGCCCCACAGTGTACCCCTGGGTGTGGGATTCCACGGGCCTTGGTAGAGAGAGAGACATATATGAACCGGAGTTTGGGTCTACCAATATTGAAGACCCTGCTGTTATTTGATTTTATTAGACTTTCCTTTCTTTTTTATTCCTTTTGTTTATGTAAAGAATTATCTTTCTACACCCCCCCCCCTTCTCTCTTATCTTAAATCTTTATCATGTTATCAATAAAGCGACAACATCCTCTCTCTATCCCCAGTCAGTGAGGACTTTCAGACTAGACACAGTTAACCTATAAGCATATATTGTTGATTACATGTTCACAGTCTGGTGTAAGTTGGTTATAAGACTGTAGACATGACCACAGCTTCCTTCATATCATGTCAAGATGTTGCAACCATGAATAAAACATTTGTGGGTCTTTTCTGTTCCTAAACGTTCATGAGGTCATAATGTATTATGAGACATACATGTGTATACCACTCGGTGTTTGTTGATAAAAAGAATGATTTTTCACATCTTCAGTCTTATTTGGTGAAGCATCCTTTGTAAATCATTTCGTTAGGAAATGTTCATCTATAGTGTTTTAAAATAAATTAGAATAGCAAATGTAACTTGTATAATTAATTCCCCAATTACTGTCATCCGTATAGATCATATGTTAAGAATAAAACGGTGTGTAAAGTGACATTTTGGTGCATCCCTTCATAAAGTTTGAATCAAAGTTTGATAACGATAATTATGAGATAACGACAATTGCTAATCTCCAAATATCCTCCTTTATTTCTCCATAATAAGTCTCATTCACACTAGCACTATTACGTCGGTTATCAAAACAATACTATTTCATATTGTTAACAAAGAATTATACGGAGATCGATCTTAAAAACAAAATATCACTGCTTGTTTTTTATAATATTTGACCTTTATTAGCAACTGTGTTAATATTTATTATGTTGATATTGCGATGACAATTATAACAATTTTGCAAATTTAGTTATCGTTATGGGCACTATCACTGTCATGTATTGTAATTAACAGCATTAATGGCAGAATGGTCTTGACACCATGGCAGAATAAACACAGAATAAACATAAATCGAGTTTGTGTATAAAGGCTACTCTCTATAAATAACCTTTATAAGCAAATTTAATAGACACCTATACCTATATATATATATATATATATATATATATGTGTGTGTGTGTGTGTGTGTGTGTGTGTGTGTGTGTGCATGTGTGTGTATGTACACACACATGCATAAATATGCATACAAATACAAACATGTACAAACACACACACACATACACACACACACACGCACACCCACACCCACACACACACACTATATATATATATATATATATATATATATATATATATATATATATATATATATATATACCCATATATATATATATATATATATATATATATATATATATATACATATATATATATAAGTGTGTGTGTGTTTATACGTTCATATACACACGCACACATAATGTAAATGAGGCAATAAATGAAGGCAGAGACAAAGGAAATGAAAGAGAATGAAAAAGAAAACGACGAAAACTGAGAAATTGAGAAAATGAACATGGAAATCGAGGAAAAAGGAGGTGAAGGAGGGGCAGAAAATAAATAGATAAATAAATAAAGTGAAATAGATAAATATATATATAAATAAAATAAATAAGTAGACGGAGAATGAAGTAACGGAAAATAAAGAAAATAAAGGAAGAAGAAATGAAAAATATACAAAGAAAAATGGAGAGATCGGAGAAGGAAGAGAAAAAAAATAGACATAGAGAAGAAAATGAAGTAGAACAAGAATGAGAAAAGACGAAAGTAAATGAGGAAAATAAATCAAGAAGAAATAGAAAAAAAGGAATAAGAGGGTCTATACACTAACTAGTTTCTTGCAACTAAACTACCAATTTCTAATTACTTTCTGTTTACAATATTATCATTGCTTATCTCAATATTGATTTGTTTTGTTCCTTGCTATTTGTTCTTTTCATTTCAGAATAGCCGATATTGATTAACCAATTACAGTCGTAATTAAGTGATCCAAATTACGACTGTATAAAATAGTTTACCCAAATATATCGTATTATAGAAAACGATAATATTTCATTGCGTTCAAAGATAATGAATCATTTACAGGGGATACTTCTTTCTTTTTCTAATCTTCTCCATTTGAAATATGAAAGAACACACACGCGCAAACACACACACACATATACAAACACACACACACACACATACACACACACACACACACACACACACACACACACACACACACACACACACACACACACAAACACACACACGCGCACAAATATACACAAACACACACAAAAACACATACACACATATTATAATCACTATCATTATTATATTTTCTATTATCATCATCATTAGCTTGAGCATAACTATCATTATCACCATCATCATAAATCATCATCAATATCACCATCATCATCATCGATGTCATTATACAGTATTTCATTCCTTTACAAAAAAAAATAAGTATCCCCTACAATTTTTACATTTTTTATGGATACAAAGACATAATTTCGTTTTCTTTTAAATTTCTACCTATGACTATACTATTTTATTTAGCCGAAGTTTTCTTACTAACGTTTAAAACAAAACTGGAAATACAATTTGATTATTCTTAGTATATACACTACAATAGCTATAATGGAGGATTCTTGTCTTCCATTGCAGGGGTGGGGTGGGGAGTTAATTTCGTGTCTATTATTCATATTTTATCCTGCAAATTTTATCTTATTATTGTTATCATCATTATAATTAGTACTTTTATCATTAATATCATTATCATTTATATTATTATTATCATTATTATTATTGTTATTATTATGGTTATTATTATTATTATTATTATTATTATTATTGTTATTATTATTATTATTATTATTATTATTATTATTATTATTATTATTATTATTAT